TAAGACCATGGTCGTCTAAAAAGGTCCAATTACAATGTAGGTCATTCTTTTCCATGTATTTGGACCAGTTTCCTTTTTGACCTTATCATATATTGCCATTTTAATTTAAATTACAACTTATCATATATTGCCATTTTTAATTCATTGGAATTTCACACAATTATAACTAACAAGTGCATGGTTCATCATTGAAGTCTATAAAACATCGTCCATCACACATCTTAAACTTTAGACCCTATTGCATATCTTAAAAACTTCAAACTTTAATGTATTCTAATTTTCATCATGTCTATGTGGACTCTAGTTTAGTTAATGACTAGAGATATTATAGTATCACACAAGTCGCATATATCCTTGGAAGGGTACCACCAAAGATTTGTTTGCCAGAACATTAGTACGAAGATCCTTGTCTAAAGTACCTGGATTTTATTCTTTTCCTACTAATCTGAGCCGCTTAGCACGCCCGCCTGGGAGCTTATGTTTCGTGTTTTACTTATGTTTATAATTTCCTATGTTGCGCAAAATAATTTAAAATTAAGGGAAAAAATTGGAAAGAGAAAGTAGTGCATAAATGAAACAATTTACTTGGCTAGTGCACAAATGACCTAGTGCTCTGGGACCACCTAAATTTCTCCACGGATACACAGGAAGCAGGATCAATAGAAAGTTTAACTTGCTATGATTATTCTCTTGAAATATTTTCAACTTTCTTTTCCTGCACAACTTCAACACTCAAGACAACACAAGCACCCCAAATAAAATGTTTTTATTTGTCGCATACTCTAAATAACGAATGTAAGTTAAAATGAACAAGAACCAAACTACAAATAATATGAACATAGAACCTGTAAACTATTACAAAATCAAATCGCCTAGTAAATTAATCAAACAAAAATAGTTTTCCTCTGACAAAAGTTCAAGGCAATGATTCGAATGGGCAAATTTAACCAGAATCTCACTTATTCTTGGGAGTTTTCAATGTTAAGGTGAAGCTTGCTCAACTAGAGTAGGCATGTACTCGTTATGCCGTCATTTTATGCTGGATTTGCCTGTGCACATGGATAAGAAACTCTACATAGGAGAAGCCCCCTGTGCTCTTGTCTTCTACCATATATGAGAAGAAAGACATTCCTGATCCATAGTAAATTTAGAGATCAGTTATATAACTAGAAAAATGAAATACATACTCAACAGTTTTCTCCTCCTATCTAAAGATTTCCTGTCTTGAACTTGTCCGGCATAGCGACACAAGTACAGTATGTGGTTGTTTCCATTATCTATAAGCCTAGTTCTGATATAGACGGAAGAAAATACACAGCTCGATTGGGTTCGCAGTAATATCAATCCTAACAAAGCAAAATCATGCGTCTTGGTTGTACAGAAGTAAATGCCAAACTTGGTACAAGATGAAGCAACTCTGAATAAACACGAGATTCTTAAAAATCAAACTGTCATTTTGTAACATTAATCATCAATTGAAGAATAGATAGATCAACTATAGGAGGCATACACATTATGCGAGGAATGTTTGAGTTGAAAATTAACTATAAAGCAGCACAAAAGTGTAAAACATTAGGAGCACATGTTATAGCGCTGGAGAGAAGTATCTCACTTCAAGCACCTGATGTACCACGAAAAGTTCCTTCTCATGGGAACAAAACAACAAAGGGGGAGAGAGAAAGGAGGGGGAAGGGAGAAAGGGTAAAATATGAAGATAAATAATAAAAACCTAACATTAATCCTAGATAAGACAGGGAAACAAGATAAATACTATAGATCCTAGTCCAAACTACATTCATTCAAAAGATAATCTAAATAAATAGTAAATCTTAAGAATTTAAAAGAATGAAAAATTAATCATTTGGTCTCCATAGTTTTGATCAAGTTGTAACTCAATCCCTCAATTTTGACTTAATACAACTTATACTCTATAATTTTAACTGTTTAAAATACTGGACACATATTTTAGAAAACTTTTAATCTTTAAACAGATTATAAAGATTTAAGATTATTTTTTACAATTTATTTTCTAAAATATAAGGGCAGATATTTTAAACTATTAAAAGTATAGGGACTAAGTTACATTGAGTCAAAATTCAAAAACCAAGTTATAACCGAGTCAAGATTATAAGTACTAAGTTATGAGTCAAAGTTGAAAGATTGAGTTCCAACAGAATTAAAACTATAAGGATCAAATAATTAATTTCTCCCTCAAAATAAAGATAACTGATAAAACATAAACCCAATCTAATCAGATGCTATGCTTTCTGATAGAGATGACGATTCACAGCATACAACAACAACAACAAGCCTTTATCCCACTAGGTGGGGTCAGCTACATGGATTGCAAGACGCCATTGTGCTCTATCATTTATTAAACTTTTAGAAATATTATTAATTAAGAGATCACGTTCAACAACTTCCAAGAGTGTTCTCTTAGGCCTTCCTCTACCTCTCTTAATCGGACTCAAAGTTATATGTTCCACTCTTCTCACTGGTGCCTCCCTTGGTCTTCTTTGTACATGCCCAAACTATCTCAACCGATTTTCTACCATTTTTTCCTCAATAGGTGCCACCCTCACTTTTTCACGTATGTGCTCATTTCGAATTTTATCTTTACGTGTATGTCCGCACATCCATCGTAACATAAAAGTAGTATTTATGGTAAGGGAAATGACGATTCACGTAATATGACGATTCACAGCATATTTACAAATAAATTCCCAGGACCAATAGCAGAATTTATGGTAAGGGAAATGGTGTAGAAAAGAGTAGCTCAGTGGATAAGAGAATTATCTTGAGGTTCTTGGCTGTAGCAGAAAAGTAGTATGAGTAGGGATTAGGTGCAGCTAGGGGTATGGACAATGTTTGTTGTTACTTTTTGGGTTTTAAATCCTCCATTTCGTCCAGAGAGGGGAGTTCAGTCTTTCGGTTAGTGTTGGAATAGGGCAACTTAGGCCCAAGAAGACTCAGCCCAAGAAGAATTAGGGTTGCAATACTATAGTCTGCCACCTAATGAATTGTACAGCATTTATTTATTATCTATCTGCATATCTCATACTTTATTAGAGAGGATTCTGATTGATTTTGTAAATATTATGTTTTTGGTGAAAGGTTATATAAATATTATTGATATCATTCTGATTATAGGGAGTAACAGAGACTGATGTGGTTAAACCTAGATAAATAGCCCCACTCATTAATGAGAAAAGTATCTTGCCCAATTTATTCAGTTAGTAGGAGTGTGTTTGCGAGGGTTCTGGCCTCTCAGAAGTCCAGTGTCATTGTGTTGTTTATTCCCATGTTCTTTATTATTGATGCATTTTGCTTTGGGTGAAGAGGGGTCAGGGTTTTGACTAGAATCAGATATTTCTCTTGTACTTCTGATTCATTTCTTATCAAATATAAATATCAAAACCCCGTTTAATCCCAGTAGGGGTCTCCGTTTTCCATCAAAAAGACATATTTGGAGGACTAAGCAATAAAGACCATTGACTTCAAATAAACTGAAGCACTGACAAAAAGATTTCAGAACGGATTCATATTGTTGCATCTTCAGAATTCAATAGGAACATCTAATGCACTCACCTGATGGGTCTCCTTTTTTGCATAACTTTAACCTGCCAGAAGACCAAAAGCTTATTTAAAATTTACACTTCATTAAGTTTTCAGATCATAAGAAAGATTATTCAATCAAGATCTAGATTTGTTATACTAGGCAACGAAATAACCAGCTTACCGGAGGTAAGAACATCTCTGCCGCCGTATCTCATTTACCACTTCATTTAATTTCTTTGATAATGGATCATCAAACTGCTGTAACACAAACTGTTGAAAAAGAAAAAAATGGTTTGAATTCACTTCTACATTTTTCGAGCCAAAGACTCTACATAACCAGTTCCAAGCTAAAATGCACTGCAAGTATTTTTCATACAAGGTTTGACAATCACAACATATATTACCTAAAAAAAGCAGAGGAAGAAATTATGAACCTTTTTACAAGGAGAAAGGGAGTCATTTCATGTTTCGATGATCATTTAATGCTGATTGAGTTCAATTCTATCTCCTAAACATGGGATGAGCAAGGACTTTTGGAGTGACTAATATCATTCATATATAAAATGGGACTCTTGGCTCCTGAGAGAGGTAAATCTAACAGAGTATCTGAAGACTAGTGTTAAATGAAGGCTCAAATATCCTTCATCCTATCTAAAAGGCAAATACTAGGTCACGTTTAGTTGAAGGAATACTGAGGGAAATGAATGGAATTTGGTAGGATTCCATCATTTTGACACATTTGGTTGCAAGCAAAGCCTTTCCAATAGAATCCTGATTACCATAAAATAATACTCTCCATTTCCCCCAAAATTAATGGAACCACCATTCTTGACCCTCCTTTTTGATGCCATTCACTCATCCTCTTCCATTGTCCTCTATCATCATCATGCCTTATTGCCTTTTCCATCACCATCAACCTCCGTTCCTGAGCCTTCTCTTTGACACCACCAGCCTTCTCCATTCTCCCTTCTCTGCCTCTTCCATTGACACCACACCAACACCTCTTCCACCATCGTCCTTGTCAGGGAAGGTGGAATGGATCCAATCATCTCTATCTTTACCTTTCCTCTCCATCCTATCTTCTCTCGCTGTGAGTGTAGCCTTGTGATCATTGGCACCATGGCATCATCTGCCTGGTTTGCCTTCAACACCCAACTTAGAAATTAAATTGTCTGTTGTTGTTTGCTACAAAGGTTTCTCCTTCACTAGCGTCACCGTTCATGGAAGCTTCAGTCTGCTGATCTCTCAGATACTTGGTACCGTCAATGGTTCAATCCTGAATACCAGAGTAGGAATTTCATCAACTGTGGCAACACCAAACAGTGCAGAATATCCGAGCTCAGAGAGTCTCCAATATATATCAAACAATCATGACCATTTTCAAGAAGATATATTCCCTCGTTGCTGATATGCTCACTAGAAAGAGGAAGGAAGGAAGGAATAACAGATTCATAATCTTCCTGCAGGTCATGAAAAGTTAAGAGTTTATTTTAAACATCAACAAAAAATCTCTCAGATGCTTGGTACCGCCAATGGCTCTGATTCAAGATTTTGCACTGTTGTTTTGTTCACTTTAGGCTATCCTTCTTCATGGCTGTCAATGGCTATGATTCAGATTTGTGTCTTTGTTTTTTTCTCGTCCTCTTCTGTGGAGTTGCAGTGATGGTGGTGTTGATGTTGGCGGCAATGGTTGGGGAAGGGGTGGCAAGACGGAGGGAGAAAGAAGGTAAAAGGAAGATGGGGAAGGGAAAATATTTTGTCAAACGGCATTTTTAGTATTTTCCACTTTCATTTTTATTTAATTGAACATACAAATAAATTTGCTTTCAACATTCTTAATATCATAACAGATTCATGATAATCAAACACAATTTCATTATGTCCTATCCCATTCTATACCTTTAAAATTTCATTATGTTCTATCCCATTCTACTCCATTCCATTCCAACGTCATCATTTCCAACAGTTTATTAGGTCCTCAAGTCTTGTAACCCTAAGAATGTCATGCAGATCACATTACCCTATCTATAGTCCAAATCACACACAAATGCTTTTATAACTAGTCAAACAACATCAAATTATAAGATTTGGACCACAATTCAGAAGTTCCTTCCAACCTCAACCTGTTTACACTCTCAACCTTTTTCTTTTTTCACAGGTTATGAATAATGTTTTAAAATTAGTAGCTCCGTGAAGAGTCAATATTATAGCAATCATTCTCCAAAATAACACACTAATTACGCAATTGATTCAAGCGTTTGGCTTACTTACAGCTATTTCGCAACCAATCCTAGAATTGACAGATCACAAATCACAAGACAACTAGAAATGGGGAAAATCTAAAAGGATGAATTTGAAATTACCAGAGTAGGAATTTCATCAACTGTGGCAACACCAAACAGTCTCTGCAGAATATCCGAGCTCACAGAGTCTCCAATATATATCAAACAATCATGACCATTTTCAAGAAGATATATTCCCTCGTTGCTGATATGCTCACTAGAAAGAGGAAGGAAGGAAGGAATAACAGATTCATGATCTCCTGCAGGTCATGAAAAGTTAAGAGTTCATTGTATTAGGTCAGAGTGACTTGTGATATAGGTGTTAAAACAATATCATCCTACACAATTTAATAACTTTTCATGAGATAGATAAAATCCACTGATAAATTAGAAGCATTAGTTATTTATAGAGGGCGCTCATAATAATTAACATAAAATGTAATGAAATCAAATTTCAGTTTCATTTTCAAAATGTGACATGTTATCAAGTTTTAATCAAGCACGTATTAGCTGCACTTGAGCTAATATTTCTGACATGAAATGAAATCTATATCTTCTCATGCATTTTCAAATGTTATGAAAGAGTTTACCTTAGAGTCAAGATCATGGATTGCCACCATCCTGGGGTACACAAGCGGTATTGCCAATGGAGCAGAGAGAGAGGATACATAATTTATCCAGAATGATCGTTCATCAATTTTCCCCTCATTTCGCAACCCAACACTCTTACTTAATGCTGATAGAACGAAAAAAACAAATTTTCATTTGTGTTGGCCGCGAAGGGAAAAAAAAATCATATTATCAACATTCTGAATGACTAATGAGACAGAATGATTATCACAAAACAGGACTAGAATATGTAAAAATGTCAAATAACCATTTTGAAAAGGAAAAAGGTGGAAATCTATTCACACAATATAATAAAAATAAGCAGGAAAAACATTTTGGCATGCAAGGAAAATGAAGAAAAGATTATGACTAAAAAATGGTGAGTTCAACATGCAAGGAAAAACCATGATAGATATTGAATATCACTAGCTGCATAGAAATTGTCAACAAACAAAAGTATGCTACCGGAGAGTTGTAGAAAGCCCACACATACCAAGTGTGTACAGGGGTAGAAGCTTTAGTGCCTCTGGAAGAATAAGTTGCCCAGATGATGAGACAGTGGCACAAAATTTACGATATGAAAATAGTGCATTGATGCATAGATTTGTCACTTGTTCTCGGACTAGCAGGAGTGGCTTTGAAGCAATTTCACTTGCAGCTATAAAAGAAAAATGATGATAAGTCTTGAGGTTCTCTTACTTTAGTTTTTACTAGCAACCACATGTTCTGAAGGAACTGGGATGATAACACCAAGGAACCACTTAACAACACAAAAAGACAATAAAATATAAATGGAAAAAGACAATAATAGGTACCTGTACTTAGATTGCTTTTTTGCTTTTAGTCCATGTAATTTTATTTCATTGTTTCCAATCCTTATAATTTGATCAATTGCAATGTTAACTCCTATGTTTTTAAAAAATGTGCATAAAGACCATGAGGTGGCACTAATGAAGACAATTTCACGGTAACTCAGATAACATCTTTGCTAATTGCTATCATGGTAAAAAATATGCTGATGACATGAAAAATTGACTAGGTATGATTAAAAATAAAAAGGTTGATAAGATCCAAGATGGGTAGAGAGAAAAAAGGAAGATAAATCTCTATTAACATATGAAATCAAAATTTAACTTCATAATATTAATAAGAAAATATAGAATTGACAGAAGAAAATAAACAGAATAAATATATCAAGATGATATAGAACAAGATTCTTGT